TGTACATTTTCATTTTATATAACAAGTTTCATAATTTAATAATCAAGATGGGAAGGTATAGAGATGCATTATTAAAACACCGTGAAACGACTATCATAAAATGGGAAATAATTAATATTAGGTTCAGAAGTATCAATGGAAATGTGGTTGAAATATCATAAAAAATATCGACAACTGTGTTGAAAATTTCCTCATTTATTGTAAATGCTAACAGAAACTATGACAATTACTCAGTACTAATCTCGTAGTAGATTTGATAAATCCTGCCGAGGTATAGCAAATAATTTATCTACATCATAAATGCGTGAAACGCGCAAATTTAGCATAATTGATGCTTCTAAAATATTTGAATATCACAAAGGAATTATGCAAATACAACGATATCAAAACAGGTAGACAAAATTGACCGCATTTCCCGGCGGGCTTCCACTGAGTAGTCTTCTATGATAGTTCATATGAGTGCCGCCAAAGTCAGTTTCCTAAAAAAAAACATAAGCTTGAAGGGTCTACAACACTTTATACACGATAAGCAATGTGGTTCAAACCTTTGTGTTTTTGTCATTCGTTGTTCAGTTCATAGCAAAAATCTAAAAATCCGTTGACGGTCGATCAAGTATCAAAACATTATTGACGCTTTCAACATAGTCGTTTACTCTCGTTAGCGTGCAAACAGTTGCAACTGGAAAACTGCTGTCTTGTAGGCAACAAAGGGAAAAGGAAGTACACACACGATGTTGACGTCACAAGAGGCGTTCTGTGGCGTAAAGCAAATCATCAAATTCGTCATCTTTGGTGTGCGCTTAGTTAGTACATGTTGCAAATTTCCCGCACGATAACAGACTGCCAGTTTTCAAATTGCACATTTTGTATTGTAGTACTCAAGTCTTTGCGATTCTCAAAATATATAGATTGCGATTAAAACAAATAGTACAGATTGAGGACTGTTGTAAGGCATGTTATAGGCTCTAATACTTGTAATACACACTTACTCAACATTTAAACATCTGTCTGTCTCGAAGGCAGATCTGTCTGGCAGTAGTTGATTTTGTTTGCCTTCAGTTTTACGTCATAGAATCGCTTCATCACTCGAAGATGCGAATTATAGATGCTGTGTATTACGCACCTTCGATGCTGAAACTGGTACCTACCCAGAACATAAACTGATATATCATAACGAAACCATACGCATAATGTATATAGCTGCCAGGGAAGAGATATCGCTCTGTAGCTACAGGTAGTACAATTATTATAAGATAACACATTCAACATTTTTCAGGATGTTCTATATGCTTTTGTTAATCATTATCGTGTAACATACAGAATACATACACTGCTTCGTCTTCGCTCGTTTCTTCACGAATGCAATGATGTTTGTGTGTTGTATACACGTATCCCCTGCCTCGCACTGTGATCTGGGTGCTGGATGAATTATATATTATGTACAAAAAAAAACACGGGCCTACAGGTACATTGCATCAAAGGGAAATACATAAGTATGGGTTAGAGTTCAGGTTCAGTTTACGCAAATTCATTAAATTATTACAATCATAAATCAGCCACATGTACCTCTCTTAATTTGAATGTCTTAAAGATATATCTGCAAAGATATATTATTGTACATATATTTTGAGATGACAAAGCTCTACAGTATGTATGAACCAAGAGTGGATTAAAATCAATCAGTATTATTTTGATGGCAGGACACTATAAATAGGAAATAGGAAATCAGTAGGAAATGAACACAGTTCAGATTGTATAACATACTTCTTCTATTTGCTTGGTGTAACAACCGGTCACGTTATTAAGATTTGCCAAAGATGCTAAATTTAACGAGAGCATGTCTGAACAGAGGATTGTCCACGCACGTTAAAAGATGCTTTAATGCAATTTTAAACCAGGCATACGTTTCAAGTTTGCCCGAACAGTGTAATTTCCCTGCCCGGTTTGGATATCGATGTCAATACAACGTTTTCTAAATATAAAAAGAACATTGTTGTATTGCCAATGCCCTGTTGAGCCCAAACTTTCCCAAAACCATAGATTTGAAACAATTACTCAAAATTTCTGGCCCAGAAAAAGTATATCATAACACGATGAAATACGTAGCATTTGTATGCTGGTCGTTCAGTTTTCATTTTCAAAACCCTCAACCAGTATTTAATTGCTCTACAATATTCATGAACTTCCAGCAAAACTCTGTGTATTACAGAGATTCGGGGTAAAGCGATGTACTTTATTAATTCGTTGAAACCCCTTATTTTCGAACCATAAAGTAGAATGGAAGGAATTTTGCACACCATAATTACATTCAAGAAAAATCTACAATACACATTGTTGAATGGACGCATGCTTTAATATTCAAAAGACAGTATTTTATGGAAATTTTCCATTTATTCCACAATTAAATAAGTTACATAAGAGGTAGTAGTGATCAATGTCGTCGAATGCTTTCTCAAAGTCAATAAATACTAACACGCGCTGAGTAAGTCGCGTGAGACCCATATTGAAGATAGCACAGCAAACGTAGACCACAAATGTAAGCATAGCATGGACAAGCAGTCACACGGTCTTGAATGTGCTATAATTGCAAACAATTTCTCAATTACATCTCTCTTTTATTCAGACCTTTATTGAAACATGTATATATCCTTTCAGCTTTGTTATGGGTTGAAACATTTTAATTTTCATTTTACAAATTTACGGAAGTCAGGATTAAATAGTATATCATACAGGTTGAAGAACAAATACATACCAAACAATAATCATACGGATAATGGTAAAATTAATCTTTGCAATTGTGCACAGATAATCAATTACAATTCCAGGACCTGTTAAAACGCCGCCACTATATCTTGTTATGAAAGCTGGAAAAATCGACATTTTTTCACCATGAAACAAATTTAATTTAGATATTTACTCCTGCTTATTATTTACCGTAAATTAAATTCTATAAATATCAGTAAATTTGTCCATGCGGTATTTTATATGCGATATATTGGTAATATTCATGCAACCCGTTTTGCTTGCCCACGTCTGTGTCGCCGTTCTCTCCCCTGCCTCGCACTGTGTCTTCCCCTGCAATCGTATAACATGTCTACGTATGGCTCGATCATTGTGCATATGTCCCGAAGTTTCATATCGTTAATGCGATTGATGACATTGTATCTCATTTCACCGCCATCCCGTGTCTTGATGCTGAAGGAATTAGAAACGATCCCAATGAGCTGGGGTCTCCCACCTCGCGAGTTGAAGTTAAACGCTGGGGAACCTGAGCTGCCCGGGGCAGAGTCGCATCGTGTGAGCATCAGATTGCCGTGCAATCCGATAAGGTCTTTGGAGACAACGCAAGAGGATTGCCACATCTGAGAACTTGGCTTATCGGAAGGGTATCCCACGAAATGAATGATTCCTGCTTTTGAAAACCAGCTGTGTTGGATGTCAGGAAACTGATCGTGTCCCGTTACTTTCCTCGTGAGAGTAAGAACAGCGTAGTCATATATGGAACGTTCAATGTTACTCATACTGTCCCCTAGCAACCAACCTCGAGGTAGCTTAACATTTGCCACGTGGAAAAGACTAAACTTGAACATATAAGGCACTTCAATTTTGATTCTGTTTTTACTCACAACTAAGTTAGAGCCGTCGTGTACACAGTGTGCTGCTGTCAGTACATGGCTTGGTGTCACCAACATGCCGCTACAACCCACGGACAATCGAACTATGTTGCTATACGGCACACGTCGTTGCTTCGAAACGGATACCCTAATACGGTCATCGTCTCCGAATATAAAACCATCCTTATTGCTGTGGTCACCCTTTTTACTGATAATGTTGTATTGGTGACTCGGTTCCGTCAACGAGAGGTATCCATCCGGGTTCCCATCATTAATGTGTTCTGAGATATATTTTTCGTTAGTAGCTTCTCGTCGGACTTTCATATTGCCAAGTATGATGTCCAAAAGCCTGAAAATGTCTATGTCGCTCGCTTCTTCTAACTCATTCGACGATAAAGGCACAGTGTGCTGTTCAATGAATCGAGAACCAGCACTTTGCGCAGCATGGGTTAGTAGTATTGCAAAGGTTAGTGAAAACATGATTACCACTTAGAACTATTGTTCACGTGAGTGTGCAGCGAGCCGATCTGGGCTGATGTAGGTGAAAATTATCAACCTTACGTCAAAGGATACGTTCTCACACGTGACATGATTGATAAGGCGTGTCAGTCGGTATTAGCAAATTAGCGTCACTATATAGCAGAAACGATGATATGTCGAAAGACTTTATTGAATTTTACATTTGAATAAACCTGTACAATAAGAATACATTTTAAATAGGTAAATTTCGGGTGGTGTTTTTTTTTTATATTCCGATTCGTCAATACAATCTGTCAAACATACTAGTACCGTACATCAATCCCGATGATATACCAATACCGTGTACGTCACAATGCAAGTAAATGTACTCATGTCTCATACGCATTATAAGTGTTCTTCCCATGTTTTCCCAGATAGATTCGGTAACTCTCAGATACCAAGTTATTTCTCGTTGGTTCAAGTATTTTTCTAGAATTTCTTTGTTCACTTTGGAACAAATAAACACAATTTCTCATTGGATGCACTTCTTCATAATCAAAATTGTTGACAATTATAGAAAATAATATACAGGTTTATTCGAACACGAAAGTTAAGGGAGCTAATGTTCATGCGAAACGATGATAAACGTCGGTAAATTTTCAATAAATGATTGCATCCAATGATGTCTCCATTTCTACACGATCGTCTACAATTAAGTCACGTCTCACTGTGAGTGAAATATAAGTCAATATCGGGATATGATGTATAAACTACCCACGTGACCTCATTCCACCAATGATGAATCTATTTAGTATGCGCCGAATTACCACTGTGATGTTCCATCTTACTCACTTATTAAAAATGTAAACGTTAGTTTGACGTCTTTAGCTGACGTCATTGTATTGTATACTATTCATGTTCTTTTGTCGTTTGAATCTATTGAATATGTTTCCCTCGGGGAAATTGGAGATGAGTCCAAAATTAGATTATACGACAATTTATATTCAATGTCTACTATGTAGTGACGATATATCTGACAAATAACGTATATTGGGATATATAAACTTAACCTGGCCCCCTAACCTCCACGAAGCAGATAGCAATTCTATATTTTAAATTTAATCTCCCGATATACTAATCGATGTGTAACATCATTGCGGGTGAGTAAAACCACCCCCACCTCCTCCAAGCCGAACAGAGGGTACCTGATTTGTTTATATGGCAACATTATTGAAAGACTGTATTTTATACTCACGATACTAAATCTATACGTAGAGTGTCTAAGAATTGTAACGTGATAGATGTACAAAATAATCGGCCTATATTGAAATGTACCGGGAACGATTGAAATAATCCAAATGTAATTATTTAAACTTATTTTCTCTCTGTTTCATAATAAATTACTTCATTCAATTACTAGTTATTGGTTTTATTCTCAATTGGATTTTAGGACTCCCTTTGTATACTGTGTTGAACTGACTATTCCTAGTTTACATTGTCGGCTATGAGGTAAAGTGATGATGTTATCACCACGGCAACGGACGTCAGTTAAACGTCGAGAATAAAAACCAAAACAGGTAATAAAAAAAAGAGTTGATTAAATTCCGGGGATATTCACGAATATGGTGCGGTTCTGTGCATTTTTTGGTTGTTCTTTCTTCCATTTTTTAATATTTTGTCAGAAACCACAAAACAGTCGTGAGCGACCTGTTTGAAGAAAAGCTAATTTAAATTATAGAATATGTTAAAATATATACTGTAAAACATGTCTTTTTCGCGAGCTTGTCTTTTCAGCGAATTTAGCGAGATAACTGATTGCTAATTCAAAATGTCGCTAATGACTTTATTATAAATTCAAAATGGCCAAGGCATGGGGAATTGTATACAGTAATTTGGAACATAAACATCTGGGGCGCTTCCTAATTACACTTGACAGTTTTTCTTTGTTTGTATGGGTGATAACTGTGCATTTGTTTTAGTACGCGGCAGACAAGTATTGTAAAAACAGGAAATCAACAAGAGAGAGATTCGCTATTACATCATGTCGCTTTTTCGACATGTTTTACAGTATTATTTGCAGTTACCTTTGACACATACCAAAAATTAATGTTCGATTTGTTGTTACTAGTATTTCACACTAAATTGTTGTTGTTATTCATGTCACTCGGCACTTTGATAACTTCTACTTGATCGTCCGATTCTCACGAATGCAATGTTGCAAATATATTTAGGTGAAATGAATTTCCGAAGTTTTAGAA